CCTCAAAAAAAGAACACAAAAGAAAAAAACAAACTCTAGATCATGTTATCTTTCATTCAGTTGACTTTTTTTTTTTTTTCTTTTTTTGCGGTACTGGGGTTTGCACTCAGGCGCTACACCTTGAGCCGTTCCACTCTTTTTTGTGTGTTTTTTTTTTCAAGATAGGGTCTCACAAACTGCCTGGATGAGGCTTCAAACCTCATCCTCTTGATCTCTGCTTCCTGAATAGCTAGGATTACATCTTCTGTCATATTTCTTTAGTTTTCCTTAATCTGGAAGAATTTGTCATTTTTTGTCTTTTACAATATTGATATAAAGAGTAGAGATCAGATATTTTGTGGACTGTCCTTCATTTTGAGTTTTTCTCTGTTTTGGCATGATTAGATTTAATAAGAGAAAATTTCTGAGATGTCTTCATTTAATTAAAAGGGCCAGAGGGTGGAAGGGAGGAGGAAAGGGAGGGATTAATCAGTTAATAAGCTATAGGCTAAGAGAATAAAAGATCATTTCACATTCTTGAATGTATGTTAAAATCTTAACTTAGCTCTCAGACTGGAGGCATGGCTCAAGTGAGAGTGCCTGCTTTGCAAGTACAAAGCACTGAGTTCAAACCCCAGTCCCACCAAAAAAAAAAAAAGTGTCTTTAACTCAAATCCCATCACAACCCTATAAGTGACATTGCATCCCATTTACAACCCCAACCAATCTAGAAGTGCTTTTTTTTTTTTCTTTTGATAATGGATTGAACTCAGGGCCTTGTGCTTTCTAAGCAAGTGCTTTACCATTTGAGTCATGCCCTTGTGTGTGTGTGTGTTTTTTTTTTTTTTTTGTGGTGCTGGGGCTTGAACTCAGGACCTACACCTTGAGCCACTCCATCAGCCCATTTTTGTGAAGGATTTTTTCTAGATATGTTCTCTTGAACTATTTGCCTGGGCTGACTCAAACGAGAGCCTCCTGATCTGTGCCTCCTGAGTGGTTTTTTACTTTTCTTAGTTCATTTTCTAGATAGGGTGTTTTGCTAGTGGAGTGGATCAAGTGGTAGAGCATCTGCTTAGCAAGTGCGAGGCCCTGAGTTCAAATCCCAGTGCTGCCAAAAAGAATTTGATAGGGTCTTTTTTTTTTTTTTTTTTGCAGTACTGGAGTTTGGACTCAGGGCCTCATGCTTGTTAGGCAGGTGCTCTACCACTTGAGCCATTCCACCAGCCCCAGATAAGGTCTTGCTGTTAACTTTGCCTCAACTAGCTTTGAACCCATCCTCTTGCCTCAGTTTCCTGAGTAGCTGGAATTAGAGGCATGTACCATCACCCCCTGCTAGAAATGATTCTCGTTATGGACTGTCCTCCAATCCCAAAGCTGTCTTCACTTCATGTGATACCACCCCTCTTATCTATAGCCTATGTAGGTTCAAAGTTAACAATTTATACCTTCACCAAATTTTCATTATAAAAATGTTTTTCTTAGCTCTGGTTCAGCAGACATTTTTCCAACTGCTATCTAGCCTTGTGCTGGGGACTGCAGGATTTGTCTCAGGACTAGTCATTTCTTTCTAGCTAGCATCTATAATGGCTAAACTCTTTCACTTTAGCAATCTCTTGTCAAGATTTCTGATACAACAGATCCAGTGCAATGCACTTTTGGTGTCAATGCCATAGACATCATATCCAGACACACATACTGTTGTTGTGCCTCATTCCTTTTGATGGTGGGTATCTCCGGTCATGGTTAAGATAGTGTCCACCAGCTTTCTTCACTGTAGTTACTATCTTTTCCTTTGTAATTAATCTTGTGAGGAAATACTTTGAGGGTATGCAAATATCAGTAGTCATCAATATTGATGACCCTTCCTCCACTAGTTTTAGCATTAATTGATAATTATTACTATGATGGTTGCCAAATGGTAGTCTTCTAACTTCATTATTCTTTCACATTTTGATCTTTTTTGGTGGTACTGGGGTTTGAACTTAGAGCCTCACACTTGCTAGGCAGGTGTTCTACCACTTGAACCACACCCCTAATCATTCTTTGCATATTTATTAGTTGACATTCTACTTAGTGGAAAAGCCATTCCTTATTTATTTATTTATTTACATCAGCACAGACTTACAAATTACTATTTTATTTGAGCTGTGACCCACACCAATTAATTAGTTAATTAATTTTGTGGTATTTGGGTTTGAACTTTGGTCCTCATACTTGCTAGGCAGGTGCTCTACCACTTTAGCCACTACGTCAGCCCAGTCCCCTTATTATTTGTTTTGATGTTCATATTGTGTCCCCTAAGTACTTGGCCCCTCTATACTTTTGACATGTCCTCATCCTTCATGGAGTATTTATTTACTTGCTCCGTGATGAGATGCTCCAAGCTCATCTTGTGTTTTCCCTGGAGGCAGCCATTTTTCTGAAGAGGACTTCTTTCCTTATAGTACAGAGTGTTATTTAAAAACCAACATCTGGGGCAAGATGTTCTCATCACTATGGAGGTGTCATTGCTTCTTGACTATCTCTGTAGATAGAGACACACAGATGTGTGAGGGTGTGTGTGAGTGCATGCATTTTGTTTTTCTCCTTTTTCCTTTATTCAGGAAAAGGAATGTGTTGTTATTTATTTGAAGTATAATTGTTTGTATGACATTTAGAATTCTTCCTCCTGTTTTTTTTTTAAGTATATGAAGCATTAATAGGGCTCCCAAAACTGGAACCATATACAAAAAGGTATTAAGCTGGGCATGGTGGTACATGACTATAATCCCGAAATTTGGGAAGCTGAGGCAGGAGGATCATGAGATTGATGCTAGCCTGGGCTAATAGGGAAACCCTGTCTCTAAAAATAAACAAACAAAATATAATCTTTCTATCCCATTTTAATCATTACTCCCTCTGTTATTCTTTGTGTGTGTGTGTGTTCTTTTTTTGCCTGGTGCTATATTTTTCTCTGCACAATACTCAATTGGATGTTGTATTCTTCTATGAATGGAAGTTGAGGTTATTTGCAGTCCTAATGCTCAGGCAGGACACCATAGTCTTTTTATAACCTAGTCTTGTAAATGACATGTATCACTTCTGCTTTATTATATTGCTTGGAAGTGGGTCATTAAGTGTAGGCCACACTCAAGGGGAAGAATTACACAAAATGTGATTGCTAGGAGGTGGGATTATTTGGTTCCATCTTGAGACTGCCTCTCATAGGTTGGACTGCCAATTTATGTGGTTGGACTGGTTTGCAGGAGAGCTGCCAGCCACAGTGAAATTAGATGCTCTAAAAGGACCTTGCTGACCCTGTTTTGAAACCTTATTTGATCCACCCAGCTCAATTGTGCCACATTTATCAAGCATTTGCTTTTGGTCAGCCTCTTTGCCACTCGCTAAGGCTATATGAACCATATCTTTAGAAAGCTCAGACATCTTATGAAAGATATAGACATACATGGCATTTATAATAACTATGGGAGGTCGAATGGCCCATCGCTGAGAAATCAAGCAGGAGAAATGAACTGGGATTAGAGGAGGCACAGGAAGAAATGGTTAAGCTGAGTTTTGGAGGATGAGCTGGAGGTAGGTAGGTGATTTGTGGGGATAAGGCAAGGGCATTCCAGAATACGCTGTGATTAATATATTTATATTCCACTTTCTAATTGTTAAATTTTGTTATGTTAATTTTTAGACTTAATTTCCTTTTTTTTTTTTTTTTTAAGAGACAGGTTCTTGCTATGTAGCATAGGCTGGCTTTGAACTTGAGCTCAAACTCATGATCCTTCTGCCTCAGCCTCCAGAGTACTGAGATTACAGGTGTGTGCCACTATTCCTAGCTTCTTTTCTTTCTCTCTTTTTTGGCATACTGGGGTTTGAACTCAAGACCTTTGCTCTACCACTTGAGTCACACCCCAGCCTAAGGTTTTTCTTTTTTAAAAGAAATCCTGAAGGTGGGTGCTGGTGACTCACGCCTGTAATCCTAGCTGATCAGGAGATGGAGGAAAGCTAGCCCATGCAATAGTTCGTGAGACCTTATCTTGAAAAAAGGACTTAGAAAAAAAAAGATCTTACAAAAAAAAAAAAAAAAAAAAAAAGGACTGGTGGAATGGCTTAAGGTGTAGGCCCTGAGTTCAAATCCCAGTACTGCAAAAAGAAAAAAAAATGAAATCCTGATATCTATCTGAAGTCTACTTTATTCCCCCTTCTTCTCTACATCCTCTCCCATCTCTATCATTATCATGTGTGCCCAACTAGACATCATTTTCCACGAACTGTGAACCATAAAGTATATAGTTTTACATATTTAAAATTTTTACAAATCATTTCACAGTGTTCACATTTGTTGGCATGTTGGTATTTCAGTAACATGTTAGTAGCTATCAAATGTTGTTACATATAGGAACTATGTTTTATTTGTTGAAGTATTTTATTATAGGACTCTTTCACGCTTTATTCATTCATGCCTTATGAGACATTCCTGCTGTTACCATTTTTCACAAGGAAGCAGGCTTCCTGGAACATATCTTCGGGGACACTGTTGTAGAAGCTTCTTTCTGTATTTTTCTCCACGTGAAATTGCTGGATCATAACATGTATATTTTATTTCATCACATCAAATTATTCTCAAAAGTGTCTGTTGTAATTTTACACTTGTATCTCTGAGTTGCAAGATTCCCTCCTGCCCCTGGAATGATCATACATTAGTATTTTACCATCTGATGAGTTTGTAAGTAGTCATGTAAACACATAATTCCGGAGACATCCAAATAAAAGGCCAGAGGAGGCTTGATGTGGCGGGGCCGACTACGGGTTCCGGGTAGTGGCTTGGGGGCCCTGTGGCCGTCCCTTTGTTGCCCTGAGACCTGAGCGGAGGGTCTCACCACCGGGCGGGTGGGTGCCTGCATTGGCAGGACCGCCTCGGGTGCGGGCGCGCCCCCGCAGTTGGTTCGTCCTGACCGAGCTCCCCCGCGGTGCCGCTTGGTTCCGTCCGCGGGGCCCGCGCCTGCGCCTGCGCTGGCCGAGACCGCGGCTCCTCCCGGTCGCATCGGTTGAGCGCGCGCCCGGCAGCCCCGACTTCTGACGTTGCAACCGCTCGCGACCCTCAGCGTCCCGGAGGAGGGGCTGGGCAGAGCCGCAGGTTTGGGCCGGTGAGTAGCTACCGCCGCCACACCGCAGCCTGCCCACTTCCCGCCCCGTCCTCGCCCTCGCCGAGGTAGGCCTTCGGACGCCAGGTGGCTTCTATCCACTCCCGCGTGTCTCCTGACGGCTCCCGAGTGGCCGTTGGGACGCCGCAGGGGGCCCCTTCCCTCCGGCCCCTGACCAGTCTTCCTCACCTGGAGGCGGACTTCATCCTCCCCGTGGCCTTGCCACTGCCCGCTACGCAAGGCTGTGGTGCCTTTTTCCTCATGCCCAACTCCTGGGAGGTGGCCTCCTGTTGTCCCCTCACATGGCCCTCTCCCAGACAAGGGGTGACTAGGTCCCTCCACCCCTGGCTCCTTTAGTGCCTTTTGGTTGTAGAGTGATACTTGGTCACTAGTTTGCCCAGCAAAAAAGATTCAGTCCCCAGGGTCTCACTGTGTAGTCCCAAGTTGGCCTTGAACTCTCCATCCTCCTGCCTCAGCCTCTTAAAAAGATTTCCTTGGAATTCCTTATCATCATATGCTACTTAACCCCTCCAACAGATCGGTGTATTTTCTCTGTGTATGATGACAGGCAATGTTTCAGGCCTTCTACACACATTGTAATTGTCAGATAACTTTAGGAGGATAGCTGGATTTGAATCCAGGCGGTTTGACTACAGCGTCCTTGGTCACTCCATCATACTGGGGTAAAAGTAATACCCAGGAAAAGTGAAAAGTTGTTGTTGTCTCCATTTTTCCTGTCATGGGACACTACTTTATAGTTAAATCAAGGAAAGTGGTTGAATGGAGGAAAGTCTGTTTTTGGAGTCAGATGCATTTAGTTTCAGTTCCCAGCATAGCTATTTATTGACTGACAGCTGTTTTTGACTTAAGTTTCCTCATGTATTAAACAGTCATATATCTACCACTTAGAGTTGTTGGGAGGAATAACTTCTATAATGTCTGTAAGGTACCTAGAAACAGTGTCCAGTGCTTCAATAAATGACAGCTGTTGCTCAAGATGTTTGAATTCTATTCTTACATAGTTTTAAACTGAGCTGAGTATAAGCTGGGGAACAAAGTATCAGGAGTGTGTATGTGTAGGTGTGCATTTACCTTTTCCTTCTCTAGTTACAGAAACAAACTCATTGTAATCAGTTGATGAAGAGCTTGGTACCAAAATTTATTAAGGTATTATTTACATATAGTGAAGTGACCCAGTCTTAACTATCACTTACTGTGTACATCCATGCAACTACCAAACCAAATCAAGATAGACATATAGATACAGACATATTTTCAGTACTCTAAAAGGTTCCCTTCCTAGTTACATCCAGTGGTAACCAGCATTTTCATCACCCGTGGCTCATGCTTATAATCCTAGCTACTTGGGAGACTGAGATCAGGAAGATCGTGGTTCCAGGCCAGCCCTCGCAAAAAAGTTTGAGAGACCCCCCCTCCCCATCTCAACGGAGGAAAGCTGGATATGGTGGCATGCGTCTGTCATCCCAGTGATGGCAAGAAAGTGTAAAATGGTCCAGGATGGCCTGGACAAAAAGTGAGACCCTACTTCCAAAATAACCAGAGAGAAAACGACTGGAGGCGCAGCTTAAGAGGTAAAGCTCATGACTCATAAGCACAAAGTCAAGAGGACTCCCAATTTCTTAACAGTTCTATTGAGATATAATTCACATATCATACAGTTCACCCACTTATAATCCACAATTTGATGGCTTTTAATATATTCATAACTTGTGTAGCCATCACCCCAATTTTAGAAAATTTTCATTAACTTAAAGAGCAATTTCATACTCCCCCATCCTGAGAAAACACAAATCTACTTTTTGACTGTTGATTTACTAGTCTGGATATTTCATATAAATGGAATCATACAATTATATTTGTCGCTCCAGACTAGCTTCTTTCAGTTGTGATGTTTATAAGCTTCATCTATATTGTATGTATCAGTATTTTATTCTTTTTTATTTTTGCATTATATTCCATTATGTGTCTATACTACATTTCATTTATCAGTTGGGTGGACATTTGATTGCTTCCAGTTTGGAGTTCTTAGGAATAGTGCTTCTGTGCATACAAGTTTTTGTGTGAAGATAGGTTTTCAGGTCTGTTGGAAAGGAAATACATGGGGGTGGAATTGCTGAATGGGATAGTATATCTGATTTTTAATCTTTGAGGAACTGCTAGGCTTTTTCCAATGTGGTTGAATGTAATGTATACCCATCAGCAGTGTATGAGAATTTCCTTACCACCACTTTTTACTATGTTTTTTTTTTGGTGGGACTCGGGTTTGAACTCGGGGCTTCAGGTTTGCGAAGCAGGTGCGCTGCTGCTTGAGCCTGATCTCTAGTCCTTCAGATTTAGCTTTTTAACTTGTCTTTAATTAATTCAATTAATTTTTGTGTGGTAGGAGTTCATTCTTCTGCATGTGGCTAAACAGTTGTCCCAACACTATTGGTTAAAAAGATTCCTTTCACCAATCGAATGGTCATGGCACCCTTGCTGCAAATCGGTTGACTGTGAATGTAAGCATGTGTTTCTGGACTCTTAAATTCATTCCATGGATCCATATGTCTGTTCTTATGCCAGTGCTGCATTGTCTTGAGCTTGGTAGTCAGTTACGAAATTGAGAAGTATGAATCCTCCAACTTGGTTTTTCTTCATAAAGATTGTTTTGGACCATTCTGGGATTCTTGTATTTCCATGTGAATTATACAAACAGTTTTCACTTTTTGAAAAACAACCAGCTGGTATTTTATTAGGGATTGTATCAAATCTGTCTACAGATTTGGAGAATATTGCTCTTTGAACATGGGATCTTGTTTCAACAGTGTTTTGTAGTTTTTAGGGTATAAGTTATATGCTTTTTTTTTGAGGGGGGTTTGAACTCAGGGCTTCACATTTGCTAGGCAGGTGCTCTACTACTTGAGCCATGCCTCTAGCCCATCTTTTGTTATTTAAATTATTTTTAAGTATTGGATTTGTTTTCTTATTTTTGTTTTCAGTTTGTTCATTGCACATGAATAGAAACATTTGTTTTTCGTATTTTTATCTTATGTCCTGCAATATTGCTGAACTTATTTATTCTAATAGTTTTTAGTAGATTCCTTAGGTTTTTCTATATAAAAATCATTTTATATAGATATAAGGCTATAGTTTTGCTCTTCCTTTCAATTCTGGATTCCTTATTTGTTTTTCTTGCCTGGCTTCCTTGGCTAGAAGGTTGACTATAAGTGGTGAGCATGAACATTTTTGTCTTTTCCCTGATCTAAGGAGAAAATTTGTAGTCTTCCTCTATTAAGTATGATATTCACTATGGATTTTCATGGATGGATATTCTTTATCAGATTGGGAAAGTTCTCCTTGGGTTTTTTTTTTCTTTTTGTGCTGGCTATTGAACCCAGGGCTTTGTGCCTACTTAAAGCACAGGCTGTACTACTGAGCTACACCCCCAGCCTCAGAAAGCTCCTTTTCATTCCTAGTTTGTAGAATGTTTTTATCATAAAGGAAGGGGTGTTGCATTTTGTCAAATGCTCTCTGTGTATATTGAGATAATCATGCGTTGTTTCTACTGATACAGTATGATATCAATTGATTTTAAGATGCTAAACTGACCTTGTATTCCTTTGGTAAATTTCACTTGATCATGGTGTATAATCCTTTTTATTTAATGTTGAATTTGGATTGCTAACACTGTTTTCCTTTGAGACACAGAGTCTCACTATGTAACCTAAGTTGGCCTTGAACTCATGATCCTCCTGCCTACCCTTTCAAGTGCTAGAATTATAGGTGTGTGCCTGTAATTATAGTTGTGTGCATTCCTGGCACATCTCTTCCTTTCTCTCTTTTTCTCTCCTTCCTTCCTTCCCTTTTTCCTTCCTTCCCTCTCCCTTCTTTCCTCCTCCCTCCCTCCTTTCCTCCCTTCCCTCTCTCTTCCTTCTTTCCTTCCTTCCTTTCTCTTTCTCTCTTTTCCCTCCCTCCCTCCCTCCCTCCCTCTCTCCCTCCCTTCCTTCTTTTCTTCCTTCCTCTCTCTCTCCTTTCTTTTCTTTTAGGTACTGGGACTTGAACTCAGGACCTTCACCTTGAGTCACTCCACCAGCCCTTTTTGTGATGGGTATTTTTGAGATAGAGTCTCATAAACTATTCGTCCGGGCTGGCTTCGAACTGAAATCCTCCTGATCTCTGCCTCTTGAGTAGCTAGGATTACAGGCGTGAGCCACCACCACCCGGCTTCTTTTTCTCTCCTCTCTCTCTTGCTCTCCCCCTGCCCCCCTTTTCTTCTTTCTTTTGGTGCTGGATATCAAACCCAGGGCCACATACACAGTAGTCAAATGCTGTCCCATCAAGCTACATCCCCAGCTCTAGATTGCTAGTATTTTGTTGAGGAAATTTGTATCTGTTTGTTAAGAGCTGATCTCTTGCAGTGTCCTGGGCTGATCTCTTGATGGAAATGGGTCCTTAGCCAGAAAGGGAACATCTTCTTAGGGCTTGATTCACGGTCCTGCATTGCTGTTGTGTTTCTGCTTGAATTTGGTGGCTACTCAAAACCTTTGTTGAGAAGTTTCTCCAAACTGTTAGATGGTGCTGGACCCTTGAGTTGGCTAACAGAGTCTTGATAACAGAGTAGAGAAGAACCAGATGGATTAGAAAAGCATACAAGGAGCCAGGTGTGGTGGCTCAGGTGTGTGATCTTAGCTACTTGGCGGGTGGAGATTGGGAGGATTGCATTTTGAGGCCAGTCAGGGAAAAAGTTCGTAATAATAAAGCAGTAAAAGCTGGTGTAGTGGTGCGCACCTGTCATCCCAGCTCCAAGGGAGGTGTAGATAGGATCACAGTCTAGGTCAGATAGGTTGTAAATGTGAGATGCTCAAAGTTTGAGGCCAGCCTAGGCAGAAAGTTTGTGAAACCCCATCTCAACCAATAAAAGCTGGGTTAAGTGGTACTTGACTGTCATTCCAGCTATGCAGGAAGTATAAATAGGAAGGGTTATCCAGGCATAAATGTGAGACCCTATTCAAAAAGTACCTATAGCAGAAAGGGCTGAGGGTATTGTTCAAATGGTAGAGCACTGTCTAGTAAGCTGACACCCTGAGTTCAAACCTTAGTACCACCCCAAAAAACCAAAAATCAAAAAAACCAAAACAAACAAAAAACCATACAGTGGCCAGCCACAGGTCTGAGGTTGCATCTTCACTCTGAGGTCTGGGAGATTGAAAGAAAACTTCCATTGAGGCTCATGCTGGAAGTCCAAGAGATAAACAGAAGTCTCCATTTTGAAGACTTGAAAGGGAGGCTAGTCAAGGACAGCTGACTATAAAAAAACCTCAGAGGAGGGCTGAGAGATTGAAAGAAATCTTGGTTCTGGTTGCTGGCAGTTTAAAACATTTCTCCTGCAGATCTACATCAAGATGTGCCTCCTAGGATTCATTATATGCAGAGTAAACGAGGATGCAAGAACTAAGAGACTCAAGTGAATCTGTGAACCAGAACCAGAACTCACACCAAAGCTAAAGAAAGTCAAATAATAAGTAGGGCAAGGCAGTAAATAACTTTAGGCCTTTAAAAAGAAAAGAAAGGAAAGGAAAGGAAAGGGAAAGGAGAAAAGAGAAAAGAGAAGAAAAGAGAAAAGAAAAAGGCATGGTGGTGCATTTTTCATTAGGCCGAGTCAGGAGTTTGTGAGTATATAGGGAGACTGTGACTCAACAACAAACAGACAAAACAAAGATGAGATGAATTCTACCAAATACATAAGGCAGAAGTAATTAATACCAGTTTTCCTTGCGATATTCTAAAAAATGGAAGGGAATGGAATTCTTCCAAACATAGTGTATAAGGCCAGCATTACCCTTATACCAAAGCCAGATAAGGGCCAACAACGAAAACTAAAGACCAGGGCTGGTGGAATGGCTTAAGTGGTAGAGTGCCTGCCTAGCAAGCTTGAGGTCCTGAGTTCAAACCCCAGTCCCACCAAAAAAACCCAAAACAAAAACAAAACAAGACCCTGAAAGACCAGTATTCTTAATGAACAAAGATGTGAAAATTCTCAAAATATTAGCAGACTGTATCCAGCAGCACATTTAAGAGGATTATTACCTTGATGAAGCGAGATTTATCCCAGGGATTGAAAGATTGTTCAATATACACAGATCAATAAATATATATTACATCGACAGAATAAAGGACAAAAACCATGTGATCATCTCAACAGATGCAGAAAAGACATTTGATAAAATTCAACATTCTTTCATGGTAAAAATGCTGAACCAAATTATAGAGGAATACATTTCAACATATTATTAAAGGCCATTTATAATAAACCAACTGCTGACATTCTGAGTGGAGAAAAGCTGAAAGCTTTCTAAAATCTGGAACAAGACAAGAACACTCACTTTCTTCTTTTTCCTTTTTTTTTTGCCATATTGGAGATCAAATCGAGACCCTTCTGTCTGCTAGTCAGGCAGTCTTATTATGAAGCTGTATCTCCAGCCCTGGCTTTTTTGAGACAGGGGCTCAGTATGTAGCTCAAGTTGTTTTTAAACTTATTATGTAGCCCATGCTGGGCTGGAAGTGGCAATCATCCTGCCTCAGCCTGCCAAGTGCTGGAATTATAGGTGTGTGCCAACTCACCTGGCTAAGGGTGCCTACTTTCATCACTTCTTCAACATTGTGTTAGAAGTCCTGGCCAAAGCAGTCAGGCAATAGAGAGAAATTAAGGGTATCTAAATTGGAAAAGAAGTCAAATTGTCACTGTTTGCAGATGACATGACCTTATATAATAAAAAACCTAAAATTCTGCTATTAGAACTAATACATGAATTCAGCAAAGTTGCAGGATACAAAAGCAACATACAAAAATTATTATTACTATTATTATTGGTGGTATTGGAGCTTGAATTCAGGTCTTTGCTCTTGCTAGGCAAGAACTCTACCACTTGATTTTCTTTTAGAGCCGTAATAGTGAATGTTCTATGGTACCTCATTGCACTTCCTAATGATTAATGATTTGCATTTCCTAGTAATTAATGATGTTGAGCATCTTTTTATGTGCCTTTTAACCATTGTATATCTTCTTTGCAGGAATGTTTATTCAGTCCTTTATCCAATTTTAAATTGTGTTATTTTCCTATTTAGTATTGAGTTGCACATGTCTTTTTTATATTCTGGATACAGATCCTCTGTTCCTTAGGTAGTTTGCAAATATTTTTTCTTATTTAATTCTTTTTCACCTTTTTGATGTTTTATGGTTTGGAGCACAAAGGTTTTTAATTGGATGGAGTCTTTACTTGTGCTTTTGATGTCACATTTAACAAACTATTGCCTATCCAAGGTGATAAAGATTTATGCCTGTGTTTTCTCTTAGAGTTTTATAGATTTTCTTATGTTTGTCTTTTATTAATTTTATTCAGTTTTTATGTTTCTGTGAGGTAGGAGTTTAATTTCATTATTTTTTTATGTGTACTTTTAGTTGTCCCAGTACTTCTTGTTGAAAGACTGTTTTTCCACTGAATTATGGTGACACCTTGATATAAAATTAGTTGACAGGAAATCCTTGTGCCAGTGGCACAAGGTCTTGTTAACTATACATTTGTACTAAGTTTTGAAATTGGGATGTTTGAATTTCCAACTTTCTCTTTCCCTCCTCCTCCCCCTCCTCCTCCTCCTCCTCCACCTCCTCTTCCTTCTCCCCATCCTCCCCCTTCTCTCCCTCCCTTTTCCTCAGTTTTACTCATTTTATTCATCACAGAGATGATTGTATGTGTACACACACACTTCTCTGTAGAAAAAATACAGTTTTTAATTAGTAGTGGAAAAATTCCTAAGTCTAGTTTTACTTCTCTTAGATGAGTATCTTTTTCTTTTACATGACCAAATGGAATAGCTTCTAGAAAACTTAAACTTTGAGTAAATTATTTGACCTTGTATTTCAGGCAAAAGAATGCCAAGAAGAAAGAAGAAAAGTAAAGAAGCCTGTGAATCTGAGAACCTGGAGAAGAAAGATGCAGAAACTACCAGTCCTGGCAGTGTGAAGAGGAAGCGTAGACTTGAGGAGGCATTCATTGTGATATCTGATAGTGATGGAGAGGTCAGTTCTGAAATACTGTGACTGTACCTGCATGCTAGCTTGCCAAAACAATGCCATTTTTACTCAGGTTTATTTTGATTTATAATGGAATTACCAATTAAAAGTAAGTAATCATGCTGATTGGCTGAGGATGGTCTATAGTTCTTCAGTTTTGTAAAATATTAGCATGACATTTTAGAATTATTGGAATAAACTAAATCAAATATAAGTTGTAATTTTTGTGTTTCTGGAAAGTGAAAGAAAATGTGAATGCAGTTGAGTTTGTTCAGTGTTAGAGCACTTGCATAACATATGTGTAAGAGAAATGTGAATGCTTTTGTCTCTAGATATGGAATGTCTAATGTAGTACAGCTATTTAAATTAAATCAATTAAAAATCAGTTCCTCTAGTGTACTAATGGACAAAGCCACCACATGAAGCTAGTTCTATTGTATTAGACAGCATCCTATAGGAATTTCCATTGTTTTTTTTTTCGGTACTGGGGCTTGAGCTCAGGGCCTACACCTTGAACCACTCCACCAGCCCTATTTTTGTGAAGGGTTTTTCGAGATAGGGTCTCACGAACTATTTGCCTGGGCTGGCTTCAAACCATGATCCTCCTGAGTAGCTAGGATTTCAGGCGTGAGTCATTGGCTCCTGAGAGGAATTTCCATTGTTGTACAAAGGTTTATTGGACAGAAATTTTCTAGTTCTTAGCCTCTCTCCTTTTTTTTTTTTTTTTGGTACTGGGGTTTGAACTCAGCTTAGGGTCTCCCTTTTGCTAGGCAGGTGGTCTACCCCTTGTGCTACTACTACCCCAGGGTCTGTGTTTATGCCTAGGCAGGCCTGGACTATAATCTTCCTATTTATACTTCCTGTATAGCTGTATGACAGGTGAGCACCAGGTGCAACTTTTATTGGTTGAGCTGGGGTCTTGTGAACTTTTTGCCTGTGCTGGCTTTGTACTGAGATCTTCCCAGTCTTTGCCTACCAAGTAGCTAGGATGACAGGTAAGAGCCACCACACCTGGCTTCATTTGTTTATTGAAGGTTTTTCACTTGCCTGTAGTTCACATCCAGTGGATAATGAACTAAGTCACTGTGTTTTCCTCCATATTTCCTTTTTCCTGTATCCTCTTATTTAATATTAGAACCACTCATTTATTCAAGCTATAAAGTTTAGAATCACCTTTGACCCTTTTCTCATCTTTTACACCTAACTGATCACTACATGCTTTAGTTTTTACTTCGGAAATGACACTCCAATTTATCCTTTTCCATTTTCATTTCTTTGCCTGATCCTCTGTTATTTGGGTTCTAGCCTCCAACCAAATTATGTATTGTAACGTTTTTAATAATCAGTAAGATGGAACTTTTTACTGTTTTTTAATAATATTATTGTTGTACTTGGGGTACATTGTGTCATTTACAAAAGTTCTTAAAATATATTATAGTTGAATTCATCCCCTCCATGATTCTCCTTTATCCCCCCTACCCTCATTCCTGGAATACTTTGTACCTGTCTTATTTTTCCATTTCATACATGAGTACATAATATTTTCATTACATTCAGCTTCCTTCACCCTTTCCTTATATCCTCCCCCCTTCCACTGGTACCAACCCCTAGACAGGACCTGTTTTACCTTCCTATTCTCTGTTTTTTTAAAAAGCATTTTTGTTTAAGATAGCTATACAGGGAGTTTCATTATGACGTTTCCATGTATATATATTGTAACCTGAATTGCTTCATCCCCTCTGTTTTTCTCCTTTTTACCTTAGTTCCCTTCTTATGGTAATTTCAACAGGTTTAAAAATTCTGTATTCTTTTTTTTTGTTTTTTTGGCAGCACTGGGGTTTGAACTTGGGGCCTCATGCTTCTACAAGGCAGGCACTCTTACCACTTGAGCCACTCCAACAGCTCTATATTCATTCTTTTTTTTGTGGTACGGGGGCTTGAACTCAGAACCTTCATCTTGAGCTACTCCACCAGCCCTATTTTTGTGAAGGGTTTTTTGAGATAGGGTCTCATGAACTATTTGTCCAGGGTGGCTTCAAACTGTGATTCATTCTTATATAGAAAGTACATCAACCATATTCACCTTCTTAACTTCCTTCTTTTACCCTCCGTCTCCCATTAGTGATCTCCCCTTAACGTGACCTGTTTTTTATAACATTGCTTGTGTTTATATTGTGTCTATCTCCCACATATGAGAGAAAACATGGCCTTTGTCTTTCTGAACCTGGCTTATTTCACTTAACATGATACCCTCCAATTATATCTATTTACTTCAAACCACATGGCTTCATTCTTCCTTATGGCTGAATAAAACTTTTTTTAATATATATATATCACATTTTCTTGATCCATTCATCAGTTGTAGGGCATGTGGGTTGTTTCCATAGTTTCACTATTATGAATAAACATGGGTGTGCAGGTGTCTCTATTGTACCCTGACTTATATTCCTTCCAGTATATGCCCAGGAGTGGTATCATATGGCAGTTCTATTTTAGTTTTCTAAGGAATCTCCACACTGCTTTCCATACTGGTTGTACTAATTTACATTCCCACCAACAGTGTATAAGAGTTCCTGTTTCGCCTCATCCTCGCCAACATTTGTGTTGTCTGTGTTCTTGAGGAACACATTCTGACTGGGGTGAGATGAAATCTTAGCGTAGTTTTGACTTGCATTTCCTTTATGGCAGGAAAGTTGAACACTTCTTCATGTATTTATTAGCCATTTGTACCTCTTCCTTTGAAAATTTCCTATTCAATTCATGTGCTCCTTTCTTCACTGGGTTGTTGATTCTTTGGGAGTTGAGTTCTTTTGCGCTCCATGTAGGTTCTGAAAAATAGTCCCTGATCAGATGAACAGCTGGTAAAGATTTTCTCCCATTCTGTAAGCATTCTCTTTAGTCTAATGACAGTTTCTTTTGCTGTACAGGTTTTTAGTTTGATGCAGTCCCATTTGTTCATCCTTTCTTTTATTTGCTGAGCCAAATAAGAGAGTTCTACTTAGGAAGTCGTTATCTATCCAGTGTGTTTCCTACTACTTCCTTTAGTTGTTTCAAAGTTTTAGGCCTTATATTAAGGTCTAAATAATAACACTTTTTTTTTACTGTATAAAAATATGAAGAAGACTGGAGGTGTAGCTCAAGCAGTAAAGAGCCTGCTTTGTAAATGTGAAGTCCTGAGTTCAAACCCCAGTCACATTAAAAAAAAAAAAATGAAGAAAACAAAACAATCCATAAATTCTACTACTTGAATCTACATCTTAAGAAAAATAAAAATGTTATGTACATACACACAAATAGGTTAAGTAGTTGTATTTATATTAAAAACAAAATGGAATAGAAAGATGCAAAATGAAGGTGTGCACCACAGTGTACATTTAATGAAATGTAACCATAGGCAATAATTTATTTCATGTCCCTCTAGGAAAAAAATCTTTATGCATATACCATCAATACAGATTCTTATAGGAATGGAATCATGCTACAAAAACGTTGACTTTTTTTACTATTTCTTGGGAGAGCTTTCTATAGCAGCACATACATAAAATTTGTCATAAGTACAGGATCATGCATAAGTGTAAACACATAATTTTAAAGAATAATATGGACAACTTGTACTCCCCATTTGAGAACTGTCTTTTCTTAGTGTGTCCCTCTCCCCTTGCTTCCTTTTCTACCCATCAAAAGGTCATAACTATTGTTTTACCTTTCCATGCTTATCCTTAGTTTTTGAAAACCACTTTTATGTGAATCTCTAAACACTGCTTATGCTTTGAAAAACTTGAGTTAGATACTTCTACCAACATTTTCCAGTAATCTATCCATTTTCCAGAGATTTGAAATTTTATCTTTATTGTAAACTAAAGTGTTGCTTATAAGTGAGTCTTAATCTGGATTTTCTATTTTGTTTCATTAATCCCATATTTTTGCAGTAATCATTCCATCATTTATCTTGGACATTTTAGATAGTAATTTATGTCTGTTAATGATGTTACCTATTTTTTTCTTGCTTCATTGCATTGGCTATACCAAAATAATTATCAGTTACAGAGCACAGCTTGATCTTGAGTTTAATTAGAATACTTCTGATTTTTGTTTCATATTTCTACTTTTATGTTATGGAAATATTCTTTGCTTATTTATTATTAGTATTTTTAGGAATACTATTTAATCAAATGCCTTTCATTATTTTGCAAGATAATGTAATTTTTCTCTTTTAATCAGTTAATATATATCACATGACTACATTTTCTAATGGAGCATCTTTGCATTTCTGGAATAAATCATACTTGGTTGTGATATATTTCATTAACATAATATTGAATGTACTTTTTCAATGTATTGTTCAGGAGTTTTGTATGTATATATTCCTGGTGGTATAAATTTAATGTAATTTTCTTTCTTATTTTTGTATTGCCTTCATCAGATTGGTATCATAGTTATGCTGTAATACAGAGAAGCTTTTCATCTTTTGCTGTGTTCTACACAGCTGAAATTGTATAGAAATAAAAAAATGTCTTTTTAAAAAAATGACGAATAGGAAGGTAAAACAAGTCCTTTCTAGGGGTTGGTACCAGTGGGAGAGAGGAGGGCATAAGGAAAGGGTGAAAGAGGGTAAATATGGTGGAAGTACTATGTATTCATGTATGGAAAAGGGACATTGAGACTTACTGAAACTGTTGTAAGAAAGTGGGAGGGGGGAACAAAGGAGGTGACTAACTACGATATATTGTAAGCACTTTTGTAAATGCTACAGTGTATCCGGTACAGCTATAACATGCTAATAAATAAATAAAAGGAAAAAAAGACACTAAAAAAAAAAAGAAATAGTATAGAAATTATTTACCTCATTTACTAGAAGTTGCCCCTAAAACTGTCTGTGCTACCAACTAATTTGAATTTTTTTTTTTTTTTTTTTGGTGTGCTTGGGTTTTGAAGTCAGGGCTTTAGCTCTTGCAAAGCAGGCATTCTGCTGCTTGAGCCACATTTCTAGTCCATTTTGCTTTGGTTATTTTGAAGATGGGGTCTCAGAAACTATTTGCTTCAAACCATGATCTTCTCAATCTTAGCTTCCTAAGTAGCTAGAATTAAAGGCGTGAGCCACTGGTACCCAGCTAACAACTGATTTTTAATATATACTTTATGGTCTTTTTTTAAATTTTATTCATTTATTCTCATGCGCATACATTGTTTGGGCCATTTCTGCCCCCACTGCTGGCCCCCTCCCTTTTCCCCCCTTTATGTTCTTCTAATGATGTATTTTTGTTCACTTTTTTTTTAAAGTTTTTTTTTTTTCCCCCATATTGCTACGTGAGGTAGTTGGTAGGGTCATTTTAGGGAACACATTGTTTGGCTTTGTAAGTTGTAAAGCAAATGAATTATTTCATATTTCTTCTGACCTTTGCATTGCCCACAATGCTTTTCAGTTTGTTCTTCATCTTAGGCATCAGTTCTTGTGGTTATCACTGCAGATCTTCTAAGACTGGGTCAGTTAGCAATCTCTTGAGCTCGCTTCTGTAGTATTGTTTGTCACTGTGGTTTTCGGAATCATGACTTTTCTGGAGGGGAGAATATCTGTCCATAGTGCTTGGCACTTACTAGCGGGCACTCTCAAAAAATAATCTGCTTTACTTTCTACATGTTGGTGCTGCTTTATTTATTTGAATATTTCATTAAGAAAATGTCCTAGCTGGGGTGCAGCTCAGTGGTAGAGCACTTGCCTAGCATGTGTGAGGCCCTAGGTTCCATCTCTAAGCATTGAGATGGGAAAGAGAGAGATTGAGAGAGAGAGAGAGAGAGAGAGAGAGAGAGAGAGAATTTTTTTAAATGTGAAGGTAGTAGCATAAGTCTGACATAATTAGAACTTGGGTTGACATAACTTGTTTTTCTGAGTAACATTACTTGAGGTGAAGCTCTTATTCTCTCAAGCTCCTAAGAGAACAAACAAGTTTTTGCAAACCTCCCATTGTGTTGCCATTTACTGTGTGACCTTTCTCAACTTCTTGTAAAACGTTACATTACATTACAACATCTATAAAACTAGTAATGGTCTATGGGATTGTTTTGCGGAGTAGGAATAAGTAAATTTCCTACAGTGATAACTTCAGTAAATGATAGCTGATATCATTGCAGATGTTCAGGATATAGTCTGAACCTGGCAATGAATAAAGTTAACTGACATCTGTGGACAGGAACCCTGTTGTTTTCTCCTCTTACATTCTTTCATGTTAAAACAAACAAAACAATATATTTAAAGCATCCAAAGGAAAAGAGAGGGTTATTTGTAGTTTTATAGTTGAACAAAGTTGTTTTTATTCTTGACCTTACTGCTTGGGCCTCACTTTTCTCATCTATGAAATGAGTCAGTGATATTTTTCTCTTCAGGTGTTTTGGAGGAATTAAATGAAGTAATGTATATAAAGTGTCTGGTACTTGGTAAATATGATAACTGTTACTACCTTTTTTTTAACTACTTTTCTTGTGGGGGGAATTCTAGACATTGAACCCATGGCCTCACACACACACTAGGTAAGTGCTCTACCTCTGAATTATGTCCCCAGCCTCATTCTTATTTTTCATGAAGCTGCTTCATGACAAAAATGGAATTTGGGTATAAATTGTCAACTGACCTTTGAAAACTCATGCATCTTTTCTAGATGTACTTCTTTTTAAATCAATTTTTATTAGCATGTATTAATTGTACAAAGGGATTTCATTGTGATATTTTCATATCTGACATAATGTACTTTGATCATATTCACCTCCTCAATTTTTTTTTTTGTTGGTACTAGGGTTTGAACTCAGGGCTTCATGCTTGCTACCACTTGAGCCACACCACCAGCCCTTTTTTGTATTGGCTCTTTTTGATTGATAGGGTCTCGCAAACTATTTGCCCAGGCTGACTTTGAAACTTGATCCTCCTGATCTCTGCCTCCTGAGCAGCTAGGAATACAGGCATGAGCCAGTGGTACCCAGCTCACCTATTTTTTTTTTTTTTTTTTTGAGGTACTGGGGTTTGAACTCAGCCTACACTTGAGCCATTCTTCCAGCCCTTTTTCGTGGTTTCTTTTTTTTTTTTTTTTGAGATAGGTCTTGTAAACTGTCCAGGGCTGGCTTTAAACCATAATCCTCCTGGTCTCTGCCTTCTGAGTGGCATGAGCCACTGGCGCCTGGTAGGTGTATTATTTATGATGACTTTTCTTAAAAGTCTTTGTATTTTAGCGGTAGCATTACAATTAAATTCTGGAGTATGCAATTTATAGTTTTGGAGATTTTAAACTAGTAACTCAGTTTCTTTCTTAATAGATGCAAGGACTATTCTGGCTGTTTCTTCTCGAGTAAGCTTTGGTAATTTGTATTTCAAGAAATGTTTCTAATTTGTGTGTGTACAGTTTTTGTAGTAATTCCATTATTATCTTTTTGATGTTTGCAGGTCTATAATAATTATCCTTTTTCATGTCCTGATTTTTTTTTCCTTGTAGTCTGGCTAGAGATTTACCAATTTTATTGGTATTTTTATCTTATCATTACTAGTTTTTAAACATTTTAGTTAAGAAGTTTTAAAATTTTTTTTGCTTTTGCTGTGCTGGTCGTTGAGCTCTCTCACTGAGGTGTTTCCCAGCCCTATTGCTCTTTTAATTAATTAACCAAAGTGATTTGAGATAGGATCTCACTGTGTAGCCCAGGTTGGCCTTAAACTCACAGTCCTCTTGCCAGGTATGCATACCATGCCTGATTTGATCTGTTTAAAGAAGTGGCTTTTGATTTTCTTTTTTTTCTTTTAGCCCGAAGAACTTTGTTTAGCTTTTCTTTTAAGATTGAGTCTGCTTGGCGAATTACCTTAACCTCCTTTATTCCTGAAGAATATTTTGCTTGCTATAGAATTCTGGGTTGATAGTTCATGTAACTCAACATTTTAAGAATGTGCTACTCCTTTCTAGCCTGCATATGTTCTCACAAGGATTACTTGATCTTTCTTCTATATCTAGCCTCTGCCTTCGAGGTTTTTTCTTCATCTTTGATTTTCATCATTTTGATTGTGGTATGTCTCAATATGGATTTGAGTTAATTTCTTTTGCTAGATTTTGGGAGTTTTGAGTGTTTTTCCTGTGCCATACTCTCTTCTTTAATTTAAGGGTTCGATGATGTGAATTTTAGACTTTTTGATATTGTCCTGTGGCCCCAAGTCTCCTTTATTTTTTTTTTAAGTCTTTTCTTGTCTGTTAGTCACATTGGGTGATGTGTATCTTCAAGTCCTCTAAACTTTCGCTGTTGAGTCCATTCAGTGAATATTTTATTTTGGTTATTGTATTTTTCAGACATAAGTGTGCATGCCTGTATGTGCGTACAGTTGGGATTGAACCCAGGGCCTCACGCATTCAAACATGAGCTCTGCTACTGAGTCACACCCTTAGCCCTGGTTCTTTTTTTTTTTTTTTTAATAGCTTCTGTTTATCTGTTGAGAGTTTCTCATATCTTTGATTTTGATATTGGGGCCCCTTTTGGTCTCAAAGAATGAGTTGGGAATTATATCATCTTCACTGTTTTGGAAAAATTTTAGTACAATTGATACTATTTCTTCATTAAATGCTTTGATAGAATTCATCAGTGAAGCTTTCTGGGCTTGATATTTTGTTCGTGGGAATGATTTTAGCTATAGTTTCAATTTCATTAAAAAATAGGGCCATTCAGGTTTTTTCTTCCTCCATGCCTTTCAACGAATTTATCCATTTCAACTACATTACTGAATTTGTTGGCATAAAGTTGTTTATGATATTTCCTTAATAACTTTTTGAAAACTAGTGGTGCAATCTTTCTTTTTTTTTTTTTGGTGAACTGGGTTTTGAACTCAGGGATTCATGCTTGCAAAGCAGGTGCTCTAACACTGGAGCCACACCTCTAATCCAGACCTACACTTTTGCTTTCACTGATTTTTTTTTTTTTTTTTGTATTTTCTTCTTTATGTCATTGATTTATTTTCTTTTTTGGGGAAGAGAAGGTGGGACTGAGGTTTGAAGTCAGGACCTCATGCTTACAAAGCAGGCACTTGTCTCCCATCCAAGTACTAACCAGGCCCGACCCTGCTTAGCTTCCGAGATCAGACGAGATTGGGCGCGTTCAGGGTGGTATGGCCACAGACCAAAGCAGGCACTTGTAAAGCAGGTGCTTTACTGCTTGAGCTACGCCTCTAACCCATTTTGTTCTGGACGTCTGTTTTGGAGATGGGGTCTTGTGAACCTGTTTGCCCAGGCTGGCCTTGATCTCAGCCTCCCAAGTAGCTAGGATAACAGGCACAAACCATCTGTACCTGCTTTTTGGTCTTTCTTCGATGCTCCGTATTAAATTTTGACATGGGGTGGGGTTGGTATACTTGATTCTCTTTTGTTTCTAAAGAATTCATTTACCTTCTTTATATTTTTCTTCACTAACCAGTGACCAAATTCTGATTTAACGTAAATGAATATACAGTGAATTTAAATATTATTGTTGGTTTTTAAGCCTTGAACGAAACTTCTTTGATTTTGGGTAGATTGCTACTGGTATTTTGGAGATTGGCCATTTTTTTTTTTTAATGTGACTTTGTGTATGTAACAGATAACTATGCCAGTATATTATACATTTTTATTTTTATGTTTTTATTGGTTCCAAATCTTATCTGTTTTTCCTTTTTGTACTGAAAGAGAACCTTCTGGTGTCTTATATGTACATTTATAATAGTCATTGATCGGAGGCCTCTTAACTATGAGGAGATATAGAGGAATAGAGAAATTACTTTTTTTTTTTTTTTTTTTTTTTTTGGCAGCACTGGGGTTTGAACTAGGCCTCATGTTTGCTAGGCAGGCACTCTTACCTCTTGAGATACTTCACCAGCTGAGAAATTACTATTTTCAATGGTAGCATCCTGATCATATTTCTTTTTTGCAACAGGAACCAAAGGAGGAGAATGGATTACAGAAAATGAAGACAAAACAGTCGAATAGAGCAAAATGCTTGGCTAAAAGAAAAATTGCACGTATGTTTTCATTTTTGGGTTGAATTGATAGTATTTTCATTAGGAAAACGAGTTCTCTAAATAAGGATGTAATGCATCTTGTTTGTTCTGGATTTTGTTAAAATTTTAGAAGTTGCTTATATAGTTACCTACATCTTATACCTACTTGTTAGAGGAGAGTGTTGAAATTAAAATGTGATCTTTAGGGGTAGGCACTCTTAGACTTGAATCCTTGATTTATCCCTTACATGTAGATCTTAGGCAAGTCACTGCTGTCAGCTTACCTGTTTTCTCATCAATAAAATGCTTCTAATAAATAACACTTTAGAAATTCACTTAGTAGTGTGACTCAGATAAACAGTACCTGTTACCATTTTTGCCATTAGAATCTTTTGTTGGAAGTTTTGTATTCTCTTGTGTGTTTGTTACTCAGTTATGAAGTTACTTAATTATAATTCTATTTTTGCATTTTAATGTGATATGAAACATTCAAGTATTTGAGTTAATGCTGCAGGATAACTAGTTAAAATAATTGATTTAAGATAAACAAGGCTTTTTCTAATGTTAAATGGTGATTTAAAATAAAATTTTCAGACTTAAAATTAACCATAAATAATTTTTTGTTGTCAAATTATTGCATTATATGTAGTTATAGTTATCTTTATGGTTATGCTTTCAAGTTACTTTCACTCTTGAGAATTATTGACATAATTACTTTTTGAAAGGCAATAATCTAGTAGCTGATGGTTCAGGATTTGACTCCCTTGTATACTGTTGATAGTTGGTTTATTTTGTTATTCTAGATCTTTAAAAGTAGGCTTTACTTGTTTTATTTAGTTGGACTGTGCTTTTTTTTTTTTTTCAATCCAGTGAGACAGTCTCTGTCTAATTGTTTTGCTTAGGCCATTTATAGTAATATAATTTTATTGCTGTGGTTGGATTAAAATTTTCCATTTTAGAAGATAATTTGCTTAAATTCTTTTATTCTGTTCATTTTCGTAATCTTATTTTGACTCCATTTTATTTCTGCTATTGGCTGATTGTCTTTCAAAATATATCCGAAGTGGTTGCTGTAGGATTTATGGTGTACAGATTTCCTTAGTCACAGTCACCTTTAGATAATGTTACATATTTTTATGTCTGAAGACTTTGCATGGTATATGCTTCAATTCCTTTGTATCCTACTGTGTTATTTTTGCGATATTTCCTTTTAGTGCTATAAAACATAAATTATATTATTATTTTCTTTAGGTAGTTGCTTTCAGTAGACTGTTTTCTTCATAGGTTTGTTCTTCTGGACCTTACACATAAATAGAATCAGATATTACATGGTCTCTTGGGACTGATTTCTTTCATTTAGCATAATGTTTCTGGGTTCATCCATGGCTTTGTATATATCATTTCTTCATTGCCAAGTAGTAGTTCATTACATTGCTGTTCATCATTTTCTTCTTCCATTTGTCATTTGATGGACATTTGTGTTGTTTTTCCTTTGCTATTATGCCTGATGTTTCTGTGAACATTAGGGTATGTACAAATCTTACATATTTTTTCATTTATTTTGGGTATGTACCTTGGGGGTGGAATTCCTAAGTTATGTGGTAACTCTGTATTTATCCATTTAAGGAATTGCCAGACCATTTTTAAAGTGGCTACACCGTTTACATTTCCATTAGCAGTATATAGGGCTTCAATTTCTCTACATCCCCATCAGCACTCATTTTCCACTTTTAATTAGGTCCACTGTAGTGGGTGTAAAGTAGTATCTCATTGTGGTTTTTCTTTTTTTTTTTTCTACTTTTTTCTTTTTTTTGTTGTTTTTCATTTTTTTCTGGTTTTTTTTTTTGTTCTTGCTAAAATTTTTTTTTATTATTTTTTTATTGTGGCTTTGATTAGCTTTTCTTCTCCAGTGGCCAGTAAGGACATCATTTCATGTCCTTATTGGCCATTTGTGTATCATCTTTGCAGGAATATCTGCAATATCTATTGTTCATTAAAAAAGTTCTTTCAGAATTTCACCCAAATACATATAATATAAACCATTTTGACCCATTAAAACTTTTTTAATCATGAAGGAGTATTGAATCTTGTTAAATGCTTTTTCTGTATCTATTAAGATGTTTTAAGTGGGTTTTGTACTTCATTTTGTTGATTTGGTGTGTATTACACGTCAATTTTCATATGTTTAATCAGCCTTCCATTCCCAGGATAAATCTGACTTTCAATGTGTCACATTTTTTATATGTTGCAGGATTTGATTTGCTGGTATTAATGTTGTGAATTTTTTTAATATATTATCACTAATGTTTTGTGGTTGTACTGGTATTTGAACTTAGGGCTTCCACCAGACTTCTTGTTTTTGAATTTTTGTATCTACATCTATAAGAGATATTGTCTTTAGTTTTGTTGTGATACCTTTGTCTGAATTTGGTATCAGCTTATACTGGCCTTACATGATATGTTGGGCAGTATTCCCTCATCTTCTGAGTTTTGGAAGACTTTGTAAAGAATTGGTATTTTTCTTTAATCATTGGCAAAGTTCACCCTGAAGCCATCAGGTCCCTGTCCATTGTTTGTGGATAATTTTTTTATTACCAATTTAATCTCTTACTATAGTTCCACTTAGATTTTCTGTTTATTCTTGAGTCAGTTTTGATAGTTTGTGTCTTTCTAGCAGTTTGTCTGTACTGTCCAAGTTATCTAATTTATTGCCACACAGTTTTCATAGTGTTCCCTTATGTGTAGCTTTATTTCTTTTTTTCCATTTCTGATTTTGAGTTTTCTTTCTTCTTTTTTGCTCACTCTGGCTTAAAGCTTGTGAATTTTGTAGGATTTTTCAAAGAACTAACTTTTTATTTTTTATTTTAATTTTATTGGTACTGAGCTACCAATAAAAAATTATTTCATTTTTTTTTCTGGTTTCTTAAGGTTGAATTTGTTGTGTTTTCTTCTTTGCTTTAAGATAGGAGTTTAGGCTATTGCTTTGACAGCTACCTTTTTTCGTGTGCGTGTGTGTGCATCAAGCCCAAGGCCTCTTGCAAGCTAGGCAAGAGCTCTACCACTAAGCCGCTCCCCCAGCCTTAGCTTCTTTCTCTTCCTCCTCTCCTTCTTCTCCCTTGCTTCCTCCTCCCTCTTCTTCCTCCTCTCCTCATCTTGTTCTTCCACCTCTCCCTCCTGTCCTTTCCCCTCCCATCTTCTTTCTTTCTCCTCCTTCCTTCCTTCATTCCTTCCTCCCTCCCTCCTTCTTCTTCCCTCTCTCCCCTTTTCCTCCCCTCCTCCTCCTCCACCTCTTCTCTTCCCCTCCTCCCCTCTCCTCCTCCACCTCTTCCCTCTTCCCCTCCTCCCCTCCTCCTCTTCCTCCTTTCTTCTCCTCCTCTCTCCTCCCCTCTCCTCTTATTCTTTTTTCTCTTTCTCCCTCCCTCCCTCCTCTCCCCCCTCTCACTACTTTTGCTCCCAGAGAAATATTATTATTATTTCATTATTATTATTAAAGGTCTGAACACTGTAAGCTAATAGAGGCTGTCTGGGTTGGAGATATAGCTGCATGGCAGAGTGACTGTAAGGCCCTGAGCTGTGACCCAGTACAGAAAAGTGGTTTTAAAATTAAGTTCTTTGCTGGCTCTCAGGGGTGAGGCTCCTAACCTCCCAGACTCTGGTTTTACAACCCACTTGACCTGTGTGTGGTGGGTGGAAGACCACATTCCCCAGACCCCTGCCAACTCTCAGGTTGTTGTTTGTTTTTTTTTTTTTTTTTAATTGAGGTACAGGAGGTAGAACCCAGGGCCTTGTGCATGCTAGACAAGCACTCTACCACTGAGCTATATCTCCAGCCCCTCAGGTTGTTCTTTGGACAAATTAGTAACTGCAGTGCTGGACTCTGGGTTTGCTGACGTTCTCTGAGATCACAAGTTGGCACCAAGAGTTCCCAGATGTACCTGTGGCTAGCGGCAGGACTATGCTGGTCCTTAGGGCTCTATTATGACTCACGAATTTCTGTGATGTGACTGGTACTGGTCCCATTGGTTGGAAGGTCCCCTTGGCACAGCAGGCCAGTCTGGCTAGGGATCCCAGCCACTGCGGCTGCTCTCACTGCTCTCCCTCCCAGCCACCTCAGACTCTCCTTGTTCCATTTCTTCATGTTCATGAGGTGTTGATGTAAGCAAATATACACAGTCCTGCCAGTCCTAATTTTCTTAGCTTTTGTGGAAGAAGTTTGGTGTGAGAATAGCTGTTTAATTTGGTGTGTCTGTGAGGAGAGATACATTTGCTCCTAGCCTCTGAAAATGGATTATTTTAAAATGCTTTAAATAAGACTTTAATAAGTTAGGAGATTTGTGAAGAAAGAGATCCATACAGATTGGATAAATATTAAAATTGAGTAAAAAAGGAAAAAATAGGCAATGTTATTATTTCTACATCATAAAGTAAGAGGGAATAAAATATTCTTTGACATGAAAATAGTTTTTAAAAATATTTCTCAGAATAGTTTTTGTTGGCTTTTAAAAACAAATATAATTTGTGTTATTTAGTGAATTCCGAAAATCATTGCTACAGCATCACTCAAATCTAGGATCTGGAGAATTTCTGGTGTCCCTTTCTAATCATTTCCTCACCTCTCATCTGTACGTCTCCAGAAAGAAACATTTTCTGATTTTTTTTTTTTTTTGTCAGTACTGGGGATTGAACCCAGAGCCTCAAGCATTCTAGGCAAACACTTAACCACTAAACTCTATCCCCAGCTCTGGCCCTCCCAGTGTACATGCTCTTTTTGCTCTTTGGTGTGACTTGTGCCCCAGTGCACTCTGCATGTGATTGCCCTTTGTGTGTCTGACACTCCATGCTAGGCCACTCTATCGTGATTTTGGAATTCATCCTCTTGAGTGTACTAGAAGTTCATTGATTTTATTTTTTTAATTGTGGAGAAGCAATTAATTGTATGAACATGCCACAGTTTTTAAAATCCATTTTTTCATTGATAGAAATTTGGGATATTTCTGCATTTTTTTTTTTTTTGTTTTGTT